GTAACTTTTGTGTGAATAGCATGGTAACTCACACATCACAGACCTGATAACTTATGCATCTCGGTCCTGATAACTTTGACACGAGGGGGGAGGGGTTGATGAAATATTCCCCCGGTAACTTTTGTGTGAATAGATGGTAACTCACACATCATGGAGCTGATAATTTATGTACCTCGGTCGTGGTAACTTTGGCGACGGGGGCAGGAAGAGGTGATGAAATATCCTATCAGTAACTTTTCTGTGAATAGCATGGTAACTCACACATTGTAGACCCGATAACTTATGTACACCGATCCTGGTAATTTTGGCGACGAGGGTGGGGGGTTGATGATATATCTCCACATACACCTGATATTTTTTGCGTAAATAGCATGGTATTTTACGCGCTACAGACCTGATTATAGGTGGCCAACAGGCCGACCCGGGTACGGCACAACCCGACACACAGCTAAACAGCCCTGGACTGGCACGACCCGCAAGGTTCTGTTTATAAAGCGAGTCATGCCATGTCGGCATGTGGGCCTCACTCTACGGCCGAGGCACGTCACCGATGGTAGGCAGTACTTTAGACCTAGGCAAAAAAAAGCTAGTTGAAACACCTCTGGTAACTTTAGTGTAAACACCATGATAAGTTAGTACTACGGGCATGGTAACTTCTGACCTGAAAAAAACTGGTCGAAACATACCAACATGGGATCTAGTTTTGAAGGTCTCGTCATGATGAATTTTTTATTTGAAAACGGTTTTTCAATCGGAGCGACGGCTTGAGCTACAAAACTTTTTGAAATTTCAAAAGGGAGTGAGCACACGATGACATCAGCTTTTTGTCTTTTTTGCATGCATTCAATTAGTTGTTATAATACACACCAAATACGTGCTTGACTTGATACTAATAAAAGGAAAAGGTGGGGATTAGTATATGCATGCATGCTTATTAGCGGGAATCAGGGATTAGTAGCAACATGCAAATTACGTAGCGAGAGTGAGTCGCGGGAGGATAACTGAATGGGAGGGTCGTTCGGATCTATTGGATAGATCCGAACGTTAGGATTGTATCACAGTTATTTATGGTTTGTTGTCTTCGCGGAAGTACCGATTTTGTGTCTCGCATGCTTTTATTATTATTATTATTATTATTATTATTATTATTATTATAAGAAACTTTCGACATACTCATCTTCAATCTAAACAAGAAGTACCTTACTTCATCTTTAGAGGAGCCGCCGCCGTCTCGACTTCCTGAAGATGACACAAACACTAACAAAACTCAAAAAATAAAAAAAAATCTACAAACGGGGCCGGTTGAATCGCGTACTGATAGATGTGTTTGATCTGTAACTTCTTTTGTTTTCTGAAAAAGGGTTCCCTTTATTGACTTTGGATACTAGTATAGTATATAGTTGGATCGATGTCGACGAAGGACCGATCTTGCTGTTACGATGCAACTGTATCTGTGTGATTGCTCAATGGATAAGGAGTGGCTTGCTTGCTACTCGTAGTATCAATCAATCAATCAACGTTAGCACGGTCAGCCAGTCCAGCTGAGACATATCTGTTCGTTTAAGATCAAAACTGAAAGTCTGAAACAAATCCTGACAGCTATATCACTCTTTTCATACATATATTCCCCGTGAAAACGTATAGAAGTTGGGTTCATCCTCTACAAGATTTTGCCATGAGTTCAGTACGCAATACAGAGCAGTTAAACGCAACACGAGGACCCCGCGGTCAATAGGATGAAGCGAGGGAAGAGCCAGCATCAACCAGTTCAAAGAAACTCCCCAAAATTACCCAATCTGCAGTACAAGTAGCTCCTGATATCCCATGGTAAGCACATGAGCTAATACTAACTAGCTAGCTAACTACGTGGGCTCGCCTTCCTCTGGGCTCTGTTCTTCACTCACCCCAGTAAGTTACCGTCTTCCCGATCTTCTGCAGAGCCTTCACCACTTCCTCCGCGGTGATGTTCCCCGTCACGGTCACCTTGTTCGTCTCCTTCTCGAGCTGGTAGCTCTCCATGTCTGCGCATACGCACGCACAAACCAGGGTTAATTTAATCATATACTGCAACTGCAGAAAGTGAGACTGTTTTATGTCGAGTGGATCGAAGGCTTTCGTCGTACCATCGATCGTCTTGATCGCCTTCTTGATCGACTTGATGCACCTGTCGCAGTGCATCCCGACCTTCAGCTCCACCACCTGCAAGCATCCATCCATGAAATCAACTTTCCATTTCCATAAGCACAGTAGTTCTTCACATACATACATACATACATACATACATACTGTCGAATAAACAGAAGATCTGACTAATAACTTACAGCCATGGCTTGGCTTCTCGGCGAGCAGAACTGAACAGGAGACTGGTACTGTGCAGGTGCAGCCACCACTTCCCAGGCAGCTCTGAAGTCTGAAGTAGAGGTTTCAGTCTCTCTGTATCCTGGAGCTTATATACTGCGTCTGAACCTTTCTCTTTTCCACAAGCAACGGCAAACTTTTGTTCTCCACCGTGAATGACAAAGCACATAGCATCGGTTCGCTTTAAAGCTGTCATCGCATAGGCAGGGCATTGGAGCATTTCTTTCACACTCGGAGAGGGACTCCACAGGTTGCCCAAGGTTACCATGTAACGCGCAAGAATCTACTTTTGAACCGGCACAGCTAAATCTTTCTGAAGTTACTGGAACACACTAGCTGACCTAGTACATTATTCTTTAACCAGAGGCTTACACATGATTTTATATTTCATCATCGTCGTCATAGTAGGAGCCTCTCAAAATAATCACGAGAGACTTTCTTCTTCTTCTTCTTCTTCTTCTTCTAGTAACGTGCAACACGAAAAGAATCGATGAAAGATGACATCTGTTGGAGTGTCAAGGTAGCTGTTCTGAATAAAACTGGACTAACTAATGACTGACGACCTAAAGTCCTGTGCGGAGCATGACAAACCAGGGGCATAACAATGTCAAAATGGTGACATCGATCCCGAGAAGGAAGAATCTATCCGTCAGCAAGCTTTTGCATACTATACAATATCAGTCACCATCGCGGTCAACTTTTGAGCTGGACGCTACTGCCATTTGCAACAATTTCTTCGTCGCCGGCTTGCCTCTGCCGTCCAGACTCTACCACCGGCTGGACGGGCGGGATCATCTCTCCGTCCACCGCGAGATGGACGGCAGCATCGATCCCCTCGCGCACCCCAACGGAGACCGGCACGTCCGGCCCTCGCTCCGGGTCACCGCCGTCCACCAGCTTCCCGTAGAAACCGCCGTCGTCCCTCAGGCCGTACAGGTTCGCCGTGCGCACCTCCTGCGCGAGCGCGCACGGCCAGCAGAGGAGCCACTGCGCGTAGTCCGTCAGTGACGACGAGCCGCAGCACCACCTGCTCCGGGGCAGCCCGAGCCGCTTCCTCATCTGGATCCTCCAGAACCCGCCGTACAGGAGGCCGAGGAAGCAGAGCACCACCCCGGCGGCGCCGAAGGCGTCGCTGAGGACGTAGTCGTGGATGCTGAGCGCCGTGACGTTGAACACCCAGAAGGGCGCGACGCACAGCAGCAGGAACATGGCGGTGTGCACGTACATGTTGCCCAGCCCGAGCCGCTCCATGTTCCAGCCGAACACGCAGAACGTGCACAGGAACGACAGGTAGCACGCCGCCGGGTCCTCGCCGCAGTCCAGCAGCTCCCCCGCCCACATCGGGTTGCCGACCGCCGTCCTTTCCTCCGGCGATTCTTCGGCTCCGGCTGCTGCGTGGAGGTGGAGCTGCTTGGTTTCCTCGCAGGAGGCGGCAGCGTCGTCGTCGTCGTCTCTGCCTAGAGGGCTGTACACCATGTGGGCGCCGGCGACGACAGGCGCGGAGACGCCGAGGATGAAGAAGAAGTTCTCCGCGAACTCGGAGCGTGACCTGCTTGGGTAGCCCCAGTAGAGGCTGCACTCCATGTACTGCGAAATGCAGGTGACGTGGAGGAGGGCCACCACGAAGGACATGTGCGCTCGCTCGGTCGGACGGCGGGCGCCATTCTTGCAGTACAACTTCCTTAGCTGGGCGGCGTCCTCCGGCCGCCACCGGCAGAGGAGAACGAGGTGGTGGACGAGGATGGGTTGCTGGTAGATGCTCATGAGCGTGAAGAGAGCGTTGAGGATCTGGTTGTCGATCTCTATCCAGTGGTGTCTCAAGGCCCTGGAAGGGAATGCCTTGTTCAGCAGCCCCAACAGGAGCAGTCCTAGCATGGCGCCGGCGGCGGCGACGCAGAGCAGCCAGATGAGCAGGGCGATGTTGAGAGGATGCTTGAGGTGGTTCTTGCAGATGGCGAGCAGTGAGCTCCAGTCGACTGTTCTGATGAAGTGGACATGGAGGTAGCGGTGGACGCCGATCGATGGCAGCTGAAATTTCCCCAGTGGCGCGCAGACGTTGATGTCCTTCAGCCATTGCACTGAAGGCGTTGCCTTCAGGAAATCCAGAAGCCGTCTCTCGTGTTGGTGTTCCCCTTGCATTAGTCCGTCGTGAAGGGTTGGGACTGTGATGTGATGTTCAGTCAGAATTGGTGAATTTGCATCTGAACTTGGTATGTCTTCTATGTCATCCTCGGCAACAGTGTGACCCATCTTTTTTCGTGTGAATGAAATCTGTGCTATTTGATTACGCAAAGACACAGGATGATGAACTTGAAGACTGGCGTATTGCAGTAATCTTTCTGCTATAAAAGTACAAAAAAAGACAGGGTTAGAACCCTGGATTTCTGGCATCAAGTAGGATGATCATACTGGTGGAACCTGAAATATGCATGTGAGATGGAAGATTTTGATGTAAATCCAGTGAGATTTTCAATGTAGCAAATTCTCCAAATCTACAGTTAGGCCACAAATATTGTTCTGGAATCAGATGTTCTTAATCAGAGGTAGTATGTGCTCACTGACCACCACAGATTCTTAATCAACCTAACATATGTTCTAGAAGTGGGAAATTTCGCGTTTCAGAGATCTTATTAATCGGAAGAGAACACATATTCAGTTGTGCAGAAACTATGGAAATCGCCAACATGTATGAGATTTCCTTATCATAGCAGATCAATTTCTTGTTCCGAACCTCAAAGGCACAGGCGCAAAAGGACTCGCACCAAATCAAACAGCCGTACCAAATGGTCGCCCAATCCATAAACCTAAGAACACAGGTATGCAGGGCATGAATTGGAGCAGAAGTGGAGTACCTCTCAAGAGGAGAAGCCAATCGAACAGAGGATCACCCAAGAACTTCTCGATTTGATCATCCGAATTCAGATCGCAGCAGGCGTGAAGAATCCTAGGCGCAACTGAATGAGGGGGGAAGCGTCGGGCCTCCGATGAACTGCTTCTGTTGAGTGTAGGGGAAAGCGGCCGGCAGGTTAGTTGAAGTACGGGGTATCTGACCCGCACCAACGGGACAAAGGTCTTTCCTTGGGAGTTGGGAGCAATGGACTTGATCGCGAATGGTATAGCAGTCAATCTTGACTGTTGACTCGTCGTCAGTAGCGCGCCGCTCCGACGGGACTCGAGGAAGCGCTCGGCTTGGTGCGCCCGACGGAACCAGTCAAGCTTGGAGGCATGGCGATACGACCCACGGAGCAATGTTTTCTCGGGTGGGATAAAAATCGGCGACCGTTGGAAACACAGTCAGCGATCTATTTATTTATTCTTTTTGAAAAAAGAGGCCTTTTCTTATGGGAAAAGATTCCCTTCAACCGACTGATTTTTCCAATGCACCCGTCATCTTCCATGGACGACACGTGTCCCAGTCATCACATATACTGCTTCGTCCTTGCTGCCTTATCTTCTCCTCCGAGCACTCCCATCCACATCTTCTCTACTTTCCTAACTCATTCAGTGTCCTTCACCACGCACGCATAGGATGGAGAGCACCCATGAATATAGATGCAAGCAGCAGCTAGTGACTTCAACAGCAAGCGCTCATGGGAGCAGGCGAGGTAGCCGGCCGACGTGACCGGCGATAAGGTTTGGCAACGCTCAGGATGGGAGCTCGGGGATGGATGGCCTTGCGGTTGGCAACGCATAGGATGGAGAGCACCCATGAATGTAGATGCAAGCAGCAGCTAGTGACTTCAACAGCAAGCGCTCATGGGAGCATGCGAGGTAGCTGGCCGACGTGACCGGCGATAAGGTTTGGCAACGCTCAGGATGGGAGCTCGGGGATGGATGGCCTTGCGGTTGGTGCCAGCGATGGCGGGGATGAGCAGCACCGCTCCTTCCTGCGGGCGCACGCCGACAGCGGCACGATGGTGGGGATGAGCGGCTCCGCTTCCCCTCGTTGTCGTCCCGCGGGAGCTCGTTGCGAACGACAATGGCATTTTTCTGCAACATCCAATAAGTTGCGAGAAAAATTTCTGCAACATTGGTCATGTTGCAAAAAATTATTCGGTCACACGATATAAAGGTGAAGACAAAGAAAATAAATGCAACATCACCTCAGTTGCAAAGTTTTTCTGCAACAATACCGTTGTTGCAAAAAAAAGTGAAAATGAAATGGAAAAAAATCTACAGCACAACCTACGTTGCGAAAAAAATCCCGCAACACAACCTGTGTTGAAAAAAAAATCCACAACACAATCTCTCTTACAAAAAAATTCTACAAGTTTTTCTGCAACATCACCACAGTTGCAAAGTTTTCTGCAACAATACCATTGTTGCAAAAGTTACATCACGTCTCCGCACAAAGTCTCTATTTCAGCAACAACCAACTTGATGCAATTTTGTGATGCTCGCGTGGGGAGATCTAACAGCGTGGGAGGTGGGCTTGTTTCTGCAACACCGCGCTTGTTGCAAAAGGGAGGTGGGGAACATGGGTTGTACACTGGACGGCCAGCAGCGCGTCCATCCAACGGCCAGCCAGACGGCGGATGTTTCCAATTCATCCACCGGCGGACGCCTAGCAGCCCCCTTTTCTTTTAGGAAAAGACCTTTATTGCTCGCTTTAGTGAATCAAATAACACTTACATCACCTGCTAATAAAGGAATTATAAAATGAGGAGGCAAGTCCGACCATACAGCCAGTGAATCAACACGTCCCGTTGAGCTAGCGTGTGAGCAACCATATTCGAATCTCTATTACAATACTCAATAAAAACCTTTCCAAAATCTTCCAACAAACTTAGACAATCTTCAAGAATTAGGGCTGTCACCATCGAATGTCCGGTAGTATTAGCGTTTAATGCTTCGACAACAACCAAGTTATCCATTTGCACAATGATGGAATCGCATCCAATGCTTAGGGCCAACTTCGGTCCTTCAACTACTCCATCAGCCTCAGTTGAAACAACATCTGAAATATTTTCCAAGTTCGCAGTTGAAGCTCCCATAAATAAACCTCTATTATCACGAAGGACTGCACCACAAAAATCCACGTGATCATCTTTATTCTTATGAAAAACCGAGTTGATGATAATGGTGTGCCTGCCATCTTGTATTATAGACCGTCTAATCTATATCTGACGGATAGAAAGTAAACTATGACAATTTTACAAAAGATACCCGTACCTCTCTCCGCATTTACAGATAAGGCCTTGCCTGGTTCATCCTTATCTCCCACAATCTTATTGTCGAGCAATTAAAAAGGAAGTTTCTGAAACAATCTGGCATGGTGGCCTCTGCCGCCTGCCGGCGCCGGCCATCCCCATGCCTCCGCCCAGTCCGACCACCAGTCATCATCATGCCCCACTCCTTCTCACCTTATCTCTCATCTTTCTCGAGATATCATTTTTTTGATGAAATCCTCAAGATACCATTTTCCGATAAAATTCTCGAGATATCATTAGTTTTTACACATGGGATTAGTCATGTATGGATCAATCACAACAGGTGTTTGTAAAAAGATGCATCTTGATGTTCCGTGCAATGCACGGGCATCTTGCTAGTCTTCTGAAAAAGACGTGTCCACGTTTAAGGCATGTTGTCTTGTTAGCGAATTCCTCCAGCGATTACTTCTTGGCGTGACAGTAGGTTTCCCAGATGCTCTAAAAAAATTCAAATAGAGAGCTTGTATGGCACTACTTGTTCGGACACGTGACTAAACCTCTTCATGTCTGACGATCAGGCGACACTGCCACCATATGTACCAATAGGTAATAGCAACTGATGGAGTCATGTACCTAGGGTAGGGTCACAGACCTGATCTAAGTACCCTGCCCAGGGACATCCTTAGAAGAGATCACCTTCCAGTCGACCTACGAGGGACTCACTCGACTGACTTGAAGGACTCGACCACGAAGACTCACTCGACCACCAGAAGGTCAAGATGCACTCTGCACTGCAACGGTCTGTAATTAAGTAGACTTTATGATAGTAAAGACACTTTATGTGGGGCGTTACCAGTAACGCCCCGGACTTAACGCACCTTAAACCCTCTCCTACGTGGGCTGGCTGGGGTCCTGGCGCACTCTATATAAGCCACCCCCCTCCACAGGTAGAAGGGTTCGGCACCCTGTAACTCATATACACATAATCCACTCGACCGCCTCCGGGCTCCGAGACGTAGGGCTTTTACTTCCTCCGAGAAGGGCCTGAACTCGTACATCTCTTGTGCTTACAACCTCTCCATAGCTAGGACTTGCCTCTCCATACCTACCCCCCACTCTACTGTCAGACTTAGAACCACGACAGTTGGCGCCCACCGTGGGGCAGGTGTTTTAGCGATTTTGTGGAGAAGTTGCGATTCTTCCGAGTACTTTCATCATGGTGGCTGCTGGAGTTTTGGTCGAGGGCCGAGAGATCCGTCTCGATGCTCTCACCTTCGTCGCCGACGACTCCGCCTGGCTCCAGGAGGCTCCACTCGACGTCGATGCGCTCCCCGTCCGCGGTGCGACGCATTTTCGCGCATGTGTCCGCGGTGTTCTGCTGCGGCAACCGTCGACCCCGTATCGGTCGACTCCCCCATCGGCCACCCTCCCGGTCTCCCGCCAGCGCAAGCGCTCGGGCCGGTCGAGGCTTCAGCGATGGGTGAGGCACGCGGTGGCTCGCCAGACGGCCACCACCCAAGTTGCGGCAATCGAGCCCGACGAATCTCTTTACGGCCTGTTCGATCTGTCGACTGGCTCCGTAGAGACTGCATCCGAGTGCGATAGCAGTGATCCAGCGGCGGAAATCCTGATGGTCGACGGGCCCCGCAGTCCCCCTGGCTTCGCCCATGATGGTGGGGCAGGCGACAGAGGAAACCCCGCACGAGACCACGAAGAGTACCAGCCTGAGCCACTCGACTCTCTGCAAAGAGAGGAACTTCGCCGCAGGAACGTGGATGCCCTGCGTACTCCCATCGCAGGAGAAACCCCCGAGGCTCGCGCCTTGGAGGAGGCACGTTTGGCCAACTTGGCCGAACGCACTCGCCTGGAGAATCTTCAGCGAGCACTCGACGAGCGCGCACGGCAACGAGTTCCCGACACCAGTCGACGTCAACTCTTCCCGCCGACTCAGGTATATCGAATCCCAATCCAGAATTTAGCAGTTGCGACCCGTATTGCAGAGTCCATCCAGCCCTCTCAGTCGGAAGCTGGCAGAGGCTTGATGCAGATCAGGGATCTGCTCCGGGCAGCAGGTGATCAGAATTCGGCCGTGTCGCAGTCGCGCAACAGAATTCACAGTCGATCCGTCGCTGCGAATACGGTTCAGTCGGCTCACAGCCCCAGATCGCCTCCGCGGCATGAAGGGCGCGAGAATCGGCGAGACCAATATGGAGACCGACACGACCGAGATGATAGGCGTCG